TGTAGAGGAGCAGGTGAGCGGGGGCCTGGGCGGGGGGCACGGGGGCACATGGGGCAGCCCTACCTTGTTCCTCATGGCCCGCAGCAGGTCACGCACTGAGGCCCCCTTGTAGGTGCGGAACTTCCTCAGGTCTGGGGAGAGCAGGAGAGATGCTGAGTGAGGAGGGATGTGTCTGGGGTCAGGGGCCCCCACACCCCAGCAGCACCGGGTGAGCACCACAGCTGGGGGCAAACCAGGGCACTGCTCTGCCCTCCCAAGGAAGGGCTGGCACGTTCGCTGACCTGGTGTTCCCAGTAGTGGGCATCAGACCCAGGATCCCCGTTCTCCACCCAATTCTGTGTGAGGGGCAGCGAGCCCAGCCCCGTGCTCACCTGTCTGCAGTGGGAGGGAGATGTGCATCCTCCAGTTAGTCCTCACCACCGAGCGGGCCCCTGCCTCCAGGGCTGAGATGACAGGCCCCTCGGCGGGCTCCTTCTCGATGCGGTCACTGACGTCCTGCATGACCAAGAGCAGAGGCTGGGGTGGTTATGGTGCTGGTCCCCACCCTGTACCAGGGCACAGAGCCAGCGCTGAGAGGGGCCAAGAGGCCTTGCCCCTAGCCCTAAACTCAGGGAACCCCAACCCCTTGCAAAAGTAGCTCAAAGTGATCACACTAACCCAAACACAACGGTTTCCAGCATTTGTTTTTCAGAACACACTTATATTTCCTGCCCGGTGGGATGGTGTGTGCTCACCTGGAAGAACTGCAGCTGTTTCTCCTGACTCCAGAAAAAGGGATGCATGAGGACCATGGAGGCTGAGGGGCGGTGCTGGGGCTCAGGGCTGATCATTGACACAATCAGGTCTCGTGCAACAAGCTTGTCTGGTAGGTGAAACAAAATGGAGATCTAACACCTCCAAGAAGGAGGTGCACACAGCACCTGAGGCTCTTCCACCATTTGGCTCAGGATTTCCCGTGGGATGTAGCTGAAGGGAAGGGTCTCACCGTGAACTTCCTCCTGCAGGCAGCTCAGCTGGTAGGAGCCCGACAAGATGTTGGCCTGTCGCCTCAGGCTGTCCCCAAATGGGTGCTGCCCTCCTGACACCACGTAGTAGAAGATGCAGCCAGCTGAGAAGATGTCCACAGCACAGGTCTGCAAAACACGGAGGGGGAAGCGTCTTCATTGTGCACTGCAGCAGCCCGCGGCGAGGCTGCTGCTGGCACGGGGCTGGCACAGCAGGGCTGCCCACTGACCGGGTTCTCCTTCGGGGCCTCCTGCAGCAGCTCGGGCGCGATCCAGCCCTCAGTGCCGGGGATGCCGGAGCGGAGGCTGAAGCTCTGTCGTCCCCCCTGAAGCTTCTTGCAGAGGCCAAAGTCGGAGATGACAGCTCGGATCAGCCCGTGGCGATTGGGAACAGAGATCAGGATGTTACAAGGCTTCAGGTCTCGATGGACTGGGGGAGAGAGTGGGCAGTGTCACCTGCCAGGGCTGGAGCAGAGCTGGGCTCTGCCTGCCCCGCGGCCCCAGCAGCTGCTGCCTGAGCCCCCGGCCCGGCTGAGGACGCGCGATCCCTCCTACCGATGCTGAGGGAGTGCAGGTGGGCCAGCCCCAGCATGGTCTGGCGCAGGACAGACACCGGGTCCAGGCTGTGGCGGTCGAAGCTGGGGCTTTCCACATACTGGAACCACACAGAGGGAAAAAGAGATGAACTTATTTGCCCCGATTTACCGGGGCAACCAAGGCAAGGTTTGTCAGCAGAGAGAATTCTCACTGGGCTCACAGAGGTGGAAGGAGAGCCTGTTTGGAGGCTGTTTGTGTGCCCAAGGCTTGCCATTTCCAGCTTTCCCAGTCAACATCTACTCCCTCTGTAGCAAACTGTCCTCGCTTCTGCCCTCAGACCTCCACAGCTTCAGCAACACACAGGCTGTATGGAGTGGTAGAAGGATGCTTGTTCTCCCCCTTGCCAAGTCTCTTCCCAGCACATGAACACCTGCCCCAACCAATGCTGAGGCTTGGAGCTGCCCTGTCTATCCTGAGACACAAATTGCTAGGAGAACAAGGGCAGGGGCTTGTCTGACACCACAGCAGTGCTCCCACTGGCTGCTCTGCCCCTTCAAAGCACCTCCTGGCCTGCCCCTGCCCAGCCTGGCCCCCGTTCCCTCTGGCTGCTGGAAGCAGGTTTGGAGCAGGGCTGTCCACCCATAGCCTGTCAAGAACTCCAAAGAGGGCTCCAAACCCAAGAGCTGCTGACTGCCAACCCTGCGCTTGGGGCACACACCGTGCTCTGCAGGAACAGCACAAAGCCCCTGGGGACCGACCCGCACACATGGGTATGGGGACATCCAGGGCTGATGGACACTCCCCAGCAGCAGCCCTGTGCAGCCAGCCCCACGTCCCCTGGTCCCCAGACTCACCTCCTGCAGGGTGGCAGAGCAGAGCTCGATGGCGATGTAGTGGAACTGCTTGTCCTTCTCGGTGCAGAAGTAGCGGACGACGTGCGGGTGCTCGTCTGACTCCCGGAGCAGCTGGACCTCCCGGTCCACCAGGTGGACACACTCGGGCAGCAGGCGCTTCACGGCCACGTTCCGGCCATCAAACTGTCCCCTGTGTGAGGAGACAATGGCAGTGACCAGGCACAGCCCACCCCAGCCAGAGCAGACCCTGGTGCTGCAGATCAGCAGCCTGGGCAGGCTCTGGCCAAAGCTGGAACCTTGTCCCTTGGGGCCCTCAGCATGGGTCACCTTGAAGTGACTCTCAAAGACTTGTCACAGCCACGGACAGGCAGAAATCTCTGCGGCGAGCTGGAAACTGGGGGAGCAGGCTCCCCAGGTGACAACATGTTCTCAAAAGCTCCCAAGCCACCCTTCTGCTGTCCCTGTGGCTCCCAGGGGAATGAGAGCAGAATGAGGACAGGGACCCGGGGTGCTACCCACCTGAAGACAAAGGTTCCTCCAGCTCCGTGGCCCAGCATGTCCTTAGGGTTAAAAGAAATTTTCCCAACTACAATCATGTCTGGTTCTGCATCTGCAGAGGAAGACAGCTGTCCTTCAACCTGTCCTACACAAAGGACATCCAGTTCTTTAACTGCCTGGCTGTTTCTGGGGCCCTACTACTATTGCAATAGCTTTTGTAGCCCCTGTTTATCCAGCAGCAGGTCCTGCATCTACATTCCCATCAGCTCCAGCCCTCTCATGTGCTAGTCACCCCTGCTCCTGACAACAACTGGGAGCAGAGAGCCCCTCACGCCTTGCCCATTCCCACTGCACACACCTTCAGCAGCCACTGGGACAGCTGGATCCAGGCTGACCATCCCGTTAGCCAGGTCCTGCGGGTGGTCTGAGGGGCTGGAGCTCTGTGGGAGCTGCGATGTGCTCCCCTGGCTCAGCCCCAGCATCCTGGGCTCTGCAGGGACACCCTCCCCGGAGACTCGGCCTGGCAGCAGCATCTCCTGCTGCTGTTGCAGGAGCTGGATCTGCTGCCCCAGCTGCTGTTGCTG